GATATATAAATAGGTTGTATAGGGAATGGTCTTGAAAGAGATAAAAGAAGAAAAGAAAACATCTCACACCAGCACACAAACACACTTTAGTTCCGCCTTGCAAACTGTTGCACAACTGCAGAAAAGTCCCATCATGAAGACTGCACCGCTGACAGCTGGAAACTTGTAGTTCATAAATAGAACTGCCAGTGGGCATTTGCACATTTTGTGGTGCATTTCTCAAGGAATCTGAAAGTTTGTATTTTGTTGCTTATAAAAACATTTGTCTTTTAGCGAGGTAGCTCATGCACTTATTTTACCTTTTCAGGGTTTTTGGACGTAGCATTTGTTTTCTCAGCCCCCTGCTCTGCCTCATCGGCCTCCTTGCACTTCACCTCATAGTTCTTCTTAGACTAAGAAAAAGAGAAACAAAAATTATTAGTTCTATTTCCGACAAAGCAACAGGAAGAACACTTTTTGTAAGTGATGCAAATTTTTTAAAAAATTTTTTAAATCTGACTTTTTTTTTGGTGTGCTTGCTCGAACATAAATTGAACAACTTTTATGTGGTTAAGTTTTCATGTTTCTTTCTAAATCACGCTGATTCCATGTGTTAGTGATAAATGATAGCAGTGGAAGTGTCTCCTACCTCCATGGTCTTCTTGAAGAATGAAACTTTTTTCTTTTGAACCTTCTCCATGATGCTTTCAAACTAAAGATAAAAGGTTGAAATTACTTGCATGTGTTGCTTCAATGCAAACCTGATACTTGCAGTTATTGTTCATTGATGAATAAAAGACCTGGATTTTTACTGTTAATGTGATAAAAGTCTTGATGTCACTTTGATAAAGACTGAATTAGTCTTTACTCAAGTCTTGAATCGTTTGATTTTTGAAACTATAGGTTTCCCCTTATCAGCTGCTATCTCAACATTGCACTCAGTGTCTGTAAAGTGATTTAAATGGTTGCAGGATTAAGTCAACGCTTACGTAACACAGTGTTTCCCAAACAGGAAACAGCCATTAAATAGTTACAATATTAGTGACTAATGACTTGTGCAATACTAAAAGTAATAAAGAATTATATTATCCTCAGAGTATTCACACCTTAACCATTTGGGGGGGGGGGGTGTAAGGCAGTTGTTAAGCAACACACATTTCCCAAATACCTTCTTCCTCTGCTCTTTCTGACGTTCTCTGAAACTCTCAATCTTTTTCACCTCCTCTTTCAATATATCAGATAGTTGGATGTGAAAGTTTCCAATGTTCTCAATTTCTGCAACAAAAAACATTGAAATGGCACAGTGAACCATTTGACATACAAACACATATATGGGTGTAACTTTCCACAGCACATGGACTTACGAGTTTTTAGTTGTTCGAACGATGCCCTCAAAGTGCTGGAAGAACAACACACATTCATAATCAAAATTATTCACCATGCCTGCACTTTGTGTTTCTTTCGCAAAGAGGCAGATTAACATTTTTAAAGCAAAATTTTAAGCAAAATAGCAGCTAAGTACAATTTCATTGCTAGAACTCTGCACTGTGTTTTATTGTTTAACCAGCTGCCAACACCGTGAGGACACCCAAACCTTAACATGCAGACTTTGTGCCCTAGTTTTGTTTTGTTTTTTAAGAAGAAAAGAAAAGAAAAAAAGAAAACAATCTATTTGGTTTTACTGCACTTAGATGATTCTTTTATTGGAGGCTCATTGTTTCCTTTTTGTGGCTCTTAGAATATATTGAGTTCAGTACAGATGTCTGAGATAGCAGGGAACAGGAAACTGACAAGTTATGACCTACTGTACACTGAGCGAGGGGCTTACCACACACACACACACACACACACACACACACACACACACACACACACACACACACACACACA